GGTACAGAACGTGGCTATCAGCCTCTGCTCGGTGACTCTGCGTTGTTGTGTATCCCAAAGTCCGCCTTGGAGGGTGTTTACCCGAAGGTCCAAGGCTGAATGTCCACGACCCGCTGATGTGTTCCCCACTGGGAGGGAACATCCCTGTTTGGTGATTGTTGCTCAGTATCCATTCATCTGTCATCATAGCATCTGCACTGTCTCACCAATATCCCAAGCCTCGGGGCATCCTTGCCTGCAGCGTATGAGATATAGAGCATTGGCCGAGTCACATGAGTATCTGCCATGTACGTGGTGGGTGGTGTTCCCACATGCGATGGCAGTGTTCATGTTGAAGATCTGACATTGTCTTGCAGAGGTTACCATGACAGGGTTGTGTAGTGTTGGGGTCGATGTTGTCCTGAAGGCTGGGTGGTTTGTTGTGAACAATGGTCTGTTTAAGCTTTGGTGGTTGTTTGAAGGTGAGAAATGGAGACGTGGGGAAGATCCTGGCAAGATGCTAATCATCATCGATGACATGTTGAAGGCTGTGAAGAACATGGTGTAGTCTCTCCACTCCCGGGAAGTACTGGATGATGGAGGGTACCCTATTGGACATATCCTGTGTCTGTCTTTTGAGGAGGTCATTATGGGTTTTTGCTGTGGCACATCAGAACTGATGATTGATGAGTTGAGCATCATATCCTGTTCCTATGAGGGCATCTTTCAGCACCTTCAGGTGTCTGTCTCATTCCTTCTCATCCAAACAGATCCTGTGTATGCATACAGCTTCTCTGTAGGGGATTGCTGTTTTCATATGTTTAGGGTGGAAGCTAGAGAAGTGCAGCATCGTGAAGTGATCCATGGACTTGTGGTAGAGTGAGGTACTGAGGTGTCTATCCCTGATAGAGATGCGTGTGTCCAAGACTGAAACTGATTCTGAAGAGTAGTCCATGGTAAATCTGATGGTGGGATGGAACTTATTGGTATCACTATGTTGTTGTTTCAGTGATTCCTCGCCATGAGTCCAAAGGAAGAAAATGTTGTCAATGTATCTGGTGTATAGCGTTGGTCGGTAGTCCTGTGCAGCAAAGAAGTCTTGTTCAAACTTGTGCATGAAAATGTTGGCGTATTGGGGAGTAAATCTGGTCCCCATGGGTGTTCTGTGTGTCTGCATGAAGAACTGGTTGCTGAAGGTGAAGGTGTTATGGTCGAGGATGAAGTGGATGAGTTGGAGGATGGTAGTTGGCAGTTTTTGATGTTGAGTACTGAGGCTGTTGCAGTGATGCCATTGTCATGGGGGATGCTGGTGTAGAGGGTCGAAATATCCGTTGTAACAAGGAATGTTCCTGGTTTGACTGGTCCTTGGGTGTTGAGTTTCTGTAAGAAATCTGTCGTGTCACAACAGAAGCTGGGGATTCTCGGTACGATGGGTTTTAAGATGCCCTCGACATCCCCAGAGAGGTTCTCACACAGAGTCCCATTGCCTGATACATGGGATGTCCAGGTGTGTTGGCTTTGTGTATCTTTGGAAGGCATTTGAAGTCCCTATGCGGGAAGTACGGGGGATGAGAGGGCATAGGGTACTCTGAAGGACTGGATCAAAAGTTGTGACCAGCCTGTTCAGTTGGTAGGTGTGTTCTCTGGTTGGATCAGCAGGTAATTGTCTGTCGTGTTCCTGGTTGTTCCAGTTGTCAGTACACTTCCCCGCAGTAGTGCGTTCTATTCTACGCGATGATGGCTCCTCCTCTGCCTGCTGGTTTGATGACAATGTTGCGATTGGTCTCGAGAGCCTGGATGGTGGTGTGTTGTGCCTGGGTGACGTTTTGCACTACCTTGTGAGTGTGGCTGATGAATCTGGTGTTCACACATTCTCTGACGGCTTGAGCAAACCTGTCAAGCCCCGGGCACAAGCCCTTCGGAGGGGTCCAATCAGACTCCTCCTTTGCCCGCTCCCCCATGGATCTCTCTGTCGATGAAGCGGTTCGTTGGTTGTCTCATTGGGCTCACTGCTGACATCTTAGAAGAATTCCCGGAATCTCATTCGTCTGATGAATTCCTCTGTGTCAGCCGCAAGATCGTTTTGATAATGGGGCAGAAATTAAGCCCTTGGCTGAGAACTTTGATCTGGTCCGGTTGAAGGGTGTGATCAGATAAACTGACGATGGATTTTCCCGTAGTGTTACTGCTTTCAACTGTGGTACCAGGGGAGGCATGCCTACTGCTGGTGGTGATACCAACTTTCTCCAGTTTCATGTTCTTGTTCTTCTTTCATGTAGAACTATGTTCTATGTTCTTGGTGCACGCACACACACACTCACACACACTCACACACAGACACACACACACACACACACTGACACTCATACACACCCACACACACACTCAGACACACACATACACCCACATACTCAGACACACACACACACATTCAGACACACACACACACTCAGACACACACACACACCCACACACTCAGACACACACACACACATTCAGACACACACACGCACTCAGACACACACACGCAGGCACTCACACACACACACACAGACACATATATACACACACACACACACACACACACACTCACAGACACATATACACACACACACACACTCACAAACACATATACACACACACACACACACTCACAGACACATATACACACACTCACAGACACACACAATTTATAGACAGTCAGTCCCAATGTGGCGTTTTATAAATTCCTACTTTAGAAATAAAACCAGTCTGACTCCAAACCAAAACACAAACAGATTCTAAACAAGGCCTCACACCTAACATGCATTGTCTGACCTAAAATGTCACCTCTTCTTTACACTGATAAAACCTTTAGTTCATTCAGGACAGTGACTTGAAAGGAATTAAGGGATTTACATATCCATATTATTCAATTAAAACCTTCTAACTGATTAAAAATTTAACAGCATCTCATGTTTGTTTAATACATCCTCATCAGCAAGAAAGAGACAGGGTGTGTGTGTGTTTGTGTGGGAGAGAGAATGACCTTTTGTGTGACCCTTTTACTTATAAATTCTGAGTCTGATGCCACCTCTCTCGCTGACACCTGAAGAAGGAGTGAGACTCTGAAAGTGTGTGATTTCAGATAAACCTGTTGGACTATAACCTGGTGTCATGTGATTTCTGACTTTGTGCACCATGACTTCAAGAGCTTCTGTTATGAAGCTCTAAACTTTCCCTCTGGGCTCCAGTCAATAGTTCGTCTCCAAAACAACGGATCAAGGCTGTGCACAGAAAACACCCAAACTCTAGAACACCGGCATCTGCCACCGGCCTTTAACAGTCAGCAGACTGCCACAAAATTGTCACCAGATGGTCTTTCGATGACCCTCCCACACACTGTTAAAAACCACAAACACAGTCACGCTGCCGCCTGGGAGCAGCTCCCACAGGCTGGAAGCGATGGTCAAGAAGCTCACTGAGTTGTTTCAGTCCCACATGGCAGCACAGAACCACCCCACGAGAATACAAAAGTGCCCCTACTGTCCTCAGGAGTGTGGCATGGACTTGCTCTCTGGAGCACATGACAGCGTTGGCCTTCAGATCAGCACAAAGGCAGAGGTTTGGTATCAGCTTGCTTCAGGAAAGCCCCGTTAAGAGCCAGTGCTCCCCAGTCCAGGAGCTGAGGCTGTCAGCAGCAGATCTGAGTAGGACACTGGCTCGGCCTATGTTGACAATGAGACACATGCAAGAGCTGCCAAAGCAATTGGAGCCTAGAGCAGGCTTCAAACATCTGTCTGTGAATGCAGAGGACTGGGAATACTGACAGGACTGAATGTCAACACAGAAATATTCCTGTACAAAGAGACAACAAGGTGCAGAGCTGGATGAACACAGCAGGCCAAGCAGCATCATAGGAGCAGAAAGGCTGACGTTTCGGGCCTAGACCCTTCATCAGAAATGGGGGAGGG